ACTAATGGCTCCACTCTAACACTGTGATGTACAAAGCTGTAAAAACAAAGACAACATTACAGTGGAGGCTCCATTGTATTAGGGATTCTGGAAACCTAGGCTGTATACAGAGAAGCTCTGCAGTCAGTCAGCAGAAATGGCTCAAGAGAGAGGTCTGTGGACTGCAAATGGCAACAATGAGGGAGCAAGGCTGCCCAGGCACACTAAGGCTCACATCATGGCTGCACACACATGAACCCAAAACATGGAGCTACAGGATTTATGCGCCCTTTGCTGTTTCCAGTCTTCTGTTGACTTAATCCTTTCTAATCTCAAATTCTTCCCTTTTGTAATAGGAATGCCTAGTCTGAAGTATCTTATTTTTGGGGTATGTGACTTGCTTTCATATTTTTACAGATGCTCACAGTAAAAACTTAACTTTGACTTTTGAATAATGCTAGAGCTGGTGTAACTACTAAGCACTCTTGGAGACGGATTAAATGTATTTCTGTCATGAGATAGATAGAAGTCTTTTGGTGTCAGAGGTGGACTATTGTGGTTAAAGGGTGAAGTGTCTCACTAAAGAACTTGAATTAAAAGCCCTGGTCCCTACCTAGTAGTGCTATATTTGGACATTAAAGAAGACTCTAGAAGATAAAATCTTGATGGAGGATGCAGAACACTGGGTGGGTTCTTGTGGGCATCTTGTTCCTAATCCCTTCTTATCACTCTGATTCTTAGCTGCCATGAGGAGAACAGATCTTACCATGTGTCCCTATCACCATGATGTCCTGCCTCACATAACCCCAGAAACACAGAGATATGTGGCCATCACCAAAACCTCAGAAACTGTGAACTAAATCATTGTCCTCTTATTTAAGTTGTTTTGTGGGCATTTTGGTCACAACAATGAATAAATATATGGAGTAGGAAAACAAAGTTGACAGTTTAGCTGTGTTTTATTAAGTACTGTTAGATTCTGTCTACAACCTCTCTAAACCCTTTGACTTAATTTGGGAACATAATTAAAATTTCCTGGAAAAAAAAAGGACAACAGTCATCAAATGCCTATTTTTATAGCCAATTTGTCAGTCGGGTCCATATGGAAAGAAGAGAATTTCAGCCAATGTTTTCCAGTTGGGAGGAAAACTGGGAGTTATTATGAGTCTGCAACCTCACTAATATACTTTCATTCATTCGTGAACATTTAATAAGCACCTGTGAGCACAGGTGCTCACAGCTCTAGACAACAAGAAAGGCAAAGCCTGAAACCATGGAGAATAGTCTAACAAGAAGCATCACCAACAAATAATTAATTTCACATTGTAAAAAGTGTTACTGAAACAAGACACTCGATCAAGAGTGGCTGGGGTGAGGAAGTGTGGGTTTGTATTGAGTGGCCATGGAGGGGATCTTCACAGAGGAATCGTCTCAAGCAGACTTGAGAAGACCTCGGGAGGAAAAGAGTGCAACGAAAGGATGAGCAAATCTGACAGCCAATGCATAGAGATGGGCTGGATGGGTTCTTGAAAGAATGAAGTCTTTGTGCTGGTTCTTGGAATACAGAGGATGCTGTGAGTCTGGAGAGAGAGGAAAGCAAAGCAGGAGACGTTCCCTAGTAGTTCCTGGGAATAGCATGAGGTTCTGTCTCCAGTGTGACAGTCACTCCAGTCATAGAGGACTCCACTGCTCCCATGTGCTCACTGCTGTTGTTCAAATGCATGCAAGTCTTGAAAATGACATAGACATTCATTGAACAAATTACTAGGCATCCAGCCACTCTCTATCATGAGGATGGTGACATCTGTTGATGACAAAAGCCCTTATGTCTGAAAATATCAGACACCAGAGCCTGTTCGACTCCCTTTGGTTGTGTTGCTAGTCTTTTTGTCCTAAGAAGATACAAAACTACAAAGAGAAAATTTATGTAGGTATTCTTTACATGTCCTTTCTGAAAGGGATGAATTCTGTTTACAGTGGGCAGAGCTGAGTGTAGTTGATGGTGCAAGCAGAGAAACCAGATTCCAGCCTCAGGCAAGTAGCTCTTGCAGTGTGGAAGGCTCAGAAGCACAGGGTCTGATTTCTCCTGAGATGCTGCATATTTACATTTCAAATCACTCTAAGTGGAACAAGATTTGGACCTTATCACCTTCCCAGGCATAAATTTTTTTTCCTAATCGAGGTTATAAATACAGTTACTCCTAATGATGTAAATTGAAAGCAGGCTGTGTTTACTGGCTGCTGCCAAAATCATCATGAAGCTACCTCTAACTTACTACCAGAGGCTTCTTTACCATAATTGACTTTCTCATTGTTTTATCTTGTCTTTGACCCTGGACGCCCAGGCATGATGCTCCTGAATTTAAAGGAGAGAGTGATTAGTGTGGGGAGAGCAGAGACAGCCACACTGGGGATCCCAGTGGAGACCCAGAAGAAGCCTGATAAAATACTAAACAGATCACCATCTCCTCCCACATTCTCGTTTCTTGTCTTTCAGGGAGCCCTTTAACGAGAGGTCACTGATTTTAAAGCCAAATATACCTCGGTGTTACCAAAAACATATTTATGCCAGGGTCAGAGGGAAATATTTACATCTAAAAATGCTGAAACATGAAACACTAGCCACAGGAAAGGTTACTCAGATGAAAAAGAAATAGAAGTTTGTATCACCATAATTTACACAGTCTTTTTTTTTTCCTTCTCCAAAAACAAATTCTTGCCTAGAGAGACAAATCCAGGTAGCCCCTTTGCCCCAATTTCTTAATGACACAACTCCCAAATTGAAAGCTTCTGGGGCTCTGTGTAAAACCCTTTAACTATGAGGAAAAAAATAACAAAGTAAATCACTTCTGAAAGGACAGATGATTGGAGAAGTTAAAGAATGCTTGGACTTCACATTCCTTCTGTGTGGGCCATTCTGAATTAGAAATGGAATATCCGGTTTCTAATTTCTTTCTCATCAAGAGATAATGAGTACTACAATTCACTTTGATTTTCAAAGATCGCTTATATCTTCCTCCCACCTCTTACCTATTATCTTTCCATTCTGTTGCTCCTAGGGTCTGTTTGGATGCATATTAGTTTACTAGAAATGGTGCTCACTCCTTCTGTTGAGTAGTAAAATTATCCAAGGCATGGATACAGCACTGAGTATATTAACAGACAAATGAACTCAGAGGTGTGAGGAAAAAGATCCAGGAAGGAAGAGGAACAAGATAGAAGCATCTCTGGCTCTTGGGTGATTAGATTAGAGGGAAGCATGTCTGTAAGAACCACCCTTCATGCAAAGCAGTCAACATTATCCCATTTTAGTGATGAGTTGGTGGTAATTTATCTTCTTCCGTCTGTACTTACAAATTTGGATTTCTAGTTATTGACTTACTGGGAATAACATGGGAAAGGTCTTGGGTTTCAAACTTGACTCTGCCATGTAGTAGCAAATCATGTGAATCCATTGTTTCAAGTTCTTCATGTGTAACATGAAACTGTGACATTCCCAAATGACAAAGGCAGGAGCCTTGGCCCTGGGAAACTACACAGAATGTCACAGTGGCTCTGCCTCATCCGAGCAGTAAATGTCCGACCAGTTTTGAACCGAGCAATAGCAATCCACAGACCTGCCATATGTCCTTATCTTTAAGGAGCTCACAACCAACCAGGAATTTGACCAAGAGAATGTCATAAGGAATCTTCACAATTTATTAAGATTCTCTCATTGGTGTCTTCATATAATAACTAAGACTTGTAGTTATTCAAGACAAAGGATGCTTTCTCAGAATTACTCAAGCCTGGGTCTAGAAAGATGGCTCAGTGTTTAAGAGCACATCAGGCTGTTCAAGAAGACCTGAGTTTGGTTCCCAGAATCCATGGCAGGCATCTCATAACTGTGTGTAACTCCTCTGCCAGGGCATTGGAGACCCTCTTCTGGCATTTTTGGGCAGTGAACTCACATACACAAAGCCATCAGTCACTCACATATACACAAACTAATTAAGCATAAAAAACTTTTAAAAGGCATTTATGCATATTTGTAAATATGTAGTACATAAATAACATGGGTATGTGTGTTACTATGAAATAGCCAATATAAGGAAACACGAAGTACAGAGCAAAGGAATTTCATGTTCAAATAACACTTTTTTATTAGCATATTCACTAACATTCCTTGGGCATGTGGTACAGAACATGTTCCCTTTGATTTTTCTTACAAAATAAACCAATTTGGGTGCTAAGACAACCTCACATCTGTGTGTATATGAACCACAGTGGGAAACAAGAAATCTGCAGGCTTATGAAAGTTCTACTCTGTTTGACATGTGCTTTCTGAACCCTCTCTGTTAGATACTATGCCAGTACTTACTGTAAAATAAAACAAATTTCCAGTTTTAAGTGGAATAACTGTACTGAATTTAATATGGAACATTAATGAAGAAAAGATTCAGAACTCATTCATAAACTATTTTCTTGATGCATGTGTCAAATTATCTCACCCCTTTTACTAAGTAGCATGGGTCTGAGGAATACCCATGGCCAGTGTTTTGAATGGAAAAACCAAGACTAACCAGATCATTGTGAGTCACTGGAGCCAAGACAGGGAGATTGTGCCTAAGTAACTAGACTAGAAATAGAAACTTCATTGATGTGAAACTCAGCGTTCCAGAACTAAGACTGCAACATAGACTAGTCTCTAACAGGAAAGACTTGGATTAAAGACACTGATCCTTTCTCCCAGGCACCAAACGAACCGGTGGATTCAGTCAATGCCATGGTGGAGAAAGCCAATTGTCTCAGTCTATTGATCTGAAGCTAAGTTAAGTCAGTCAAAGCAATCAATCCTGTTAGTCCACATGCTAAGTGAGAAAGGGGCAGAGTCAATCACTCAGGGAATCACGTTGGGGGAAAAAAGGCTTTTGTCTGTAATGAATATTTGGCATGTAAGTGTCTCTGGCCTGATCTACCCTAAAGCATGCATTAATTCACCACTTAAACTAGGAAGAGAAAGTAAAATTAAAGCCACTTACCTCTGAAGGAACTCACTGGTTTTGTCTTCTGTCTCTATGACATATATGCATGCTCACACACAGACATGTCCACACATTAATCAGCTGTGTCAGCTAGAGGAAAAATTCATCATTAGAATGGAAAATTCAGCTTGACATCTTTTTATATATATCTTCCATCAGGGACTTTCATTGTCCTTTGGGAAGTTGTGGTCTAGTTTCAGAACTCAGTGAAACTGGCTGTTACACAAACTATCATGTATATATTTAACATTCTCAAATGGAAAAAAATGTTTCTATAACAGTTGCACATGTTTTGTAGATTCTCTGAACCATTAGCCTCTGCTCTCTATATTTATGGTGGAGTTAGTTATAAAAGTCTCAAAGCAACCAAGATAGGGCCCCATATGCAAGGACATAAAACAAAATGGTGCAGTCTGGGGGAGGTGAGTGTTGAATCATCCTGAAACACACACTAGCATGGTAAGTAAGAGGATGCTAGGCAGGAGCCACGGAGTAGAAGGCCACACAGGTCACACTGCAAATTTATGCAAGATGCAGTTGGGCCAGCATCATTTATCATGAGTCTATGTCCTGATAGCTAGAAAACCTGCACATGTTGAGAAATCTCTGAATAATATTGAGCATTTAGAATGAAGTCAGAATTAAATCATATGAAGGTCAATTTAATACCAAGCACTTAGAGTTACTGCCTTATCTGACATGAAACACACGGAAGTCCTCTGCTGAGAAAGATGCACGAGAATTAAAAAGTGATCCTGTAGACTGCAGTGCAGAAGCAAACGCAAACACACCTGCGGGGTGGCGATTATGAGGTTTCTAATAGCATCAACATTTGGGCTTGGGAATGGCTCACAAGGTAAAGCACTGCTGTGCAAACACTAGGACTTGAATTCAGATTCCCCACCATTCAGATAAAAGCTAGGTGTGAGCTGCGCGGTGGCGCCTGTACTCAGGAGGCAGGGGCAAGTGCATCTCTGAGTTCAAGGCCAGCCTGATCTACAGAGCAAGTTCCAGAACAGCCAGGGCTACACAGAAACTCTGTCTTAAGCAAACAAACAAAAGCTAGGTATGATAGATAGCACATGTAACCCCAGGTCTGGGAGCCAGAGACAAAAGGACTCCTGAGGGAGGCTGTTTAAACCCTGCAGGCAGTTGGTGACCTCCAGGTTCAGTGAAAGACCTGTCCCCCCAAATAAGGTGGTGAGCAATTGAGGATGTTACCCTCTACACTCTCACACATGGGTCTGCACACACGTGTGGATATTTCAAGTAAGAGAGGGAAATCAAGTATTCAATAAGAGTTATTATTAAATAGCCTTATTTGTACTATTGGATAATTTTCATATAGTACATGGATATATTCTATATTCTATATAATAATTTATACTATTGAATATAGTATAAATAAGGCCATTTAATAATAATTCAATAAAATCAATTAGCTTGAGGAAAATATTAATTTAGATTGCAGCCCCACAGCTGGAGATAGAAAATTGCATGCAACATATATAAACTACAGATAGAATAAAAACGTAAATTTGTGTGCACATGTGTGAGAAGAAAAAAGAGTGAGATGTTTTTATAATTTTGTAATGTAAAAGACCTCCCTGAGAAAGACAGAAAATGGAAATGTTCACAAGATAACAGTTACCTTTGAGGTCGTGAAATTTGAACATGTTGTTACATGGAAAGACCATACAAACAAAATCTACAACAAGGCATTGAAAGGACAAAGCCATCCACGGCATTTTCAACAAAGTATCTGTACTAGATAAAAGTCTATTTTGGCACACCCATTGATTAAGGAAACTCGAACAACCAGATAGGAGAGGGGGAAAGGCTTATGAACAAGAGAGTCTCAAAGTTGAAATGATTTGTAAACTTATGAAAATAAGCCATCTCCCTGATTGTCGGAGGACAACAAAACCTTCCAGTAGAACATCAGGCATTTCTAATCATAGTAAGAATACTTCACCCATAGAATTTGAAGGGATGCAATGAGGCATTGCAAATCACAGGCACCATGTTATGTTGTAGATCTCTGTGATTGCTCGTCACGCACACCTGAAACTTCATGACCATAGAGTAGCAACTAGTTATTTATTGTTTTCATTCCTCAGATGGCCCACAGTTCGCAAAGACACATATAAACTACAAGTAGCGAAGCAAGATACAGGCTTCTCGTACACTTTCAAACGAGCACAAAGGAGCCTCAGAAGATGTCTTTTCTTTTTTCCTTCTGCTGTAATAAAACACCCCGACAAAAGCAATTTAGGGGAACAAGGGCTTCTTCTAACTCACAGTTCCAGGTCATAATCCATCACCATGGGAAGTCACAGTGACAGTATCATCAGACACCTGGTCACATGGCATCAGAAGACAGCAAGGACCGCATGCACGCTGGAGCTCACCTTTCTCTCTCCACTTTGCACCACCAAAGGATCACTTGCCTAGGGAATGGCCCCACCCACAGTGGGTAAGTCTTCTTACCTCAACTCAGCCAAGATAATCCCCTGTAAGCATACCCCCAGGTACTTCTCTCAGGTGATCCTAGATTCCGTCAAGTTAACAGCTAACATTAACTACCAAAGAGGGTAATCTCAGGTGAAAATCATAGTGTCCTTAGTGGGTATGGGTTCTTCTGAGCAGATGTGCACCATAACTAGCTTGTGAGGTGTGTCAGTAGAAATTCTCCAGTAAACACCAACTGAATGCCAACCTACAGCACCTCATTGCTAAGATTCTATCCCAAAGAGATGCTTGTTTAAGTGCAGAAATATGTACATACATTGGTGTTCATTTATAATTGTTTGGAAAAGCTAAAGAAAGAAAAAACTGAAGTCAATCTCACTTATCACCAAAAAAGGAGGTTAAGTAAATAATGGCACATTCAGGACACAGAATATTAGTCAGTGTTTAAAAATGAACAGAGTGAACCCAAAGAGACCAATATATAAAACTATAGACTGTAAGGTTTAGTTTTTTTTTCAAGCAAGTTGGAAATCACAGAACCATTTGTGTATTTAATTTAGTATTTAATACAGAATACATATTATGGTATATAATTCAATATGCTAACCTGACTGCATCATGGAATGTGCAGACAAAGATAAAGATGATTTCTGGGTGTTACACTGAGGGAATTTCTGAAGAGATGAACTTTGAGATCATAGATACAGAGAAGAGGATTGTCCCTGGGAACACGGTGATAGCTCAGGCACGTAGATCTGAACTCAACTCCCAGAACCCACATTAAGACAGGCATGGAAGCATACTGCAATAACCCACATTAAGACAGGCATGGAAGCATACTGCAATTAGAAGCCCAGCACTGGGGGGGGGGACCAGAAATGTGAGTACTTGGGGCTCACTGGCTACCCAGCATTGTCTTCATGATGAGCTCAAGGCCAATGAGAGACCCTGGCTTAAAAACCAAGACTGACAGACAGATGACAAAGTGCTCAGGATATTCTGAAGCTACCCTCTGTCCTCTACACCACCCCACAGATATGCATGTACACACAGGTGCGCTATATGGGCATCTGCATATATCCCCAACACATATACACACGCATGCGCACACACAGTAGAGAGAGACAGAGAAACAGTCTCTTTGTTCTGTATGGATGACGCTCACATGATTGCTATAGCTTAAATAGAACAAAAACGTAAAAGACACACCCTCTCTCTGCTCAACTGCTTAAGCTGAGCCATCCCTCTCCTCCTGCCCTAGGTATTATGCATATGTACTTTTATGTGCAAGAAAGAATACAGTTTAGTGTATGAGACCAGACTGATTCATACAAAAGAGGGTGCTTAGCTGTATGGCCTCGGAGCAGCTGCTTCCTCTTGGGAAGGCTGTTAGAGGCAAAGGTAGAAGGAGGGACAGTGGCTTAGTGGCTTGCTCTTTGTGCTCTCTGAACAGTTTGACTCGGCTACAATGAGACTGCATCTTATAACTGTAAGTACTATACACGTATATGTAAGACCCTCAAAATACCACACACATTCACCTTTAGAACTGCCAGTCAGTGTCACCTCTGAGCATACCATCTGAAAGACCCAAGTGTGAGGAATCAGCCTTATCTCAGGGACTGCATTTTACCTGGAATTTGAATTGACTTTGAAAATTACCTAATTTTTCAGTTTGAAACATTTGACCTCTGGGTTTTAGCCAGCATCCTGCACTCTCTTAAGTCCTAATTTGTCCTTTGCTTTAAGAAGGACTCTTAGAAGCACGTAGGGAGTGCAGGGTAGCTCACTTGTTAAACATGGAATGGACTGAGTCAAAAGCCCGCATGCATAATCCTCTATAGTTTTCAAGCCAGCTCATTATTTGCAATCCACATTCCCTTCCATAGTTATGGTGTTTCCTTTCGCATCCTACAACACTAATTCTGAAAGGTGAAGGGTGGGGCATCAAGATGCAAGTTGGCTGAGTCTATCTCTGTAAAGGGTATTTTATCTGCCATAAAAGGTACTATAAACATGAACTGTGGTACTTAGTGTATGATAAAGAATTTAAAGATCACTTAGAAATGTAACAAAAACCTTTGTACTGCCAAATATTCCCCCATAGTCAACAGAACAACAGTTCAGAGGAACATTTTTGGTAGCTTAATTAACAAAACTCCATCTTGATGGGTGCATGCCTTGAGAAGCCTGGATCTACAAATAGGTACACTCTCTGCCTTGGGAGTTGTTACCACAGAAGGAAGACCAACTCTCCAGCACATATCTATCTGATCTAATTCACACTAAGTTTTCTGATTACATTTTCCAGTAATGCTTATTATATATATATTTCTGAGACAGGGTTTCTCTGTGTAGCTTTGTAGACCAGGCTGGCCTCAACTCACAGAGATCCACCTGCCTCTGCCTCCCAAGTCCTGGGATTAAAGGTGTGTACCACCACCACCCAGCTTAAATAGATACAATTTTTAACACTATACACTCACCAAATTAACACCTATAGAATATTTTCACCAAGGAGTAAAAGCAAATGGAAGTCCCATCTCCATTCAGTCCTATTCTTACACAGGGTGTCTGGAGAACCAGAATGGTGGTATGCACAAGTGGTGTGTGTTTTCCTGAGATAACTGGGCATGCTTCCGTTTATCTGTCTGACATATGCTCTTCCTAGCCTCCTAGAAGACAATGAGCCAATGTTTTTCAGGTGACAAGAATCCTCACTGAATTTGGGGGAACCTAATAAAGCAATAAGAGACTCACTTGATGGCAGTCATGTCACTCTGGCAGGAGTTGGAGTCAATTGGTATTTTACCTCTAGTTCAATTGTTAATTTGACTTTTGGGTGGACATGCAGTGTGAGATTACAATTCAGACAAAGAGCTTCATAGGTTAATTAGAGTATGCTCATATCCTCTAGAGGAAACATTCTCACCACCATTAGCTGTGACATGTTTCCATAAGGCATAGTCCTGTACTTCCTTGTACCATGTTGACAAAAATCCCAGAAAATGCAAATAACTGGACATAATTTTAGGACTTACGTATTTATTATGAATACAGTGTTCTGCCTGCATGACGGAAGAGGGCAGCAGATCTCATTACAGATGGTTGTGAGCCACCATGTGGTTGCTGGCAATTGAACTCAGGACCTCTGGAAGAACAGTCAGTACTCTTAACCTCTGAGCCATCTCTACAGCCTTCATGACATTTTATTTTTTAAAGATATATTCTAATTCTGTAGCTTTGGCCAAACTTGTAGCCATCCTCCTGCCTCAGCCTCCCAAGAACTAAAATTAACAGGTGTGATCCACCATGCCAAGCTGGCATTCTAACTTTTAAAAATATTTACTGGGTATTTTTATATAAATGCTATTTACACCACAGCATAAATTTTAATGCATTTTCTATGCTATCTTAATCTTTGGCTGACCTTGTCTGGTACAGCTTAAGCACATCCAAGCTCTTCAGGACAAAATGTACCGTTACTTAATGTTATAAAGAGGCCCATTGTTTCCCCGCAATTTGGAAAACCACGTTCCAGAGATCAAGAGTGCAGAGCAAAGCGAATATTCACACATTCTCAGCTATTTCAGGCTGTTTCTTCCAAAAGGTCAAGGCTTTAAATACTCCCAGGCAAGAGCGAGATGGCTATCTGGAAGGCCAAACAGGGAAAGACAGGTGTACAGAAAGCAGCACGTGTGCTGCCTACCTAGCCCTAATTATTTCAAAGAGAGAAATTTTAAAATGGGAAGTTCACACCACGACACTGTTTAATCGAGGATTGTACCATTTCATATCCGGGGCCAGTCTGAATCACCAGAGGCCTGTATTGTGTCAGGTGTCCAGGCAACAAACCTGGCAGGTGTCTTGAAAAGTCAAGGGAAATGAAGATATACTGTTTAACCCACATTCCTGACACAGGTGGGAAAATCTAGCGGAGCTGAGGTTATCCATCAGCCCTGGGGAGAGCAGGTTCCTCATTTCTCCTTCACCTGGTCTCGCCAACATGTTGCTCTGATGAGGCATCAAAGCCAGAAAAGCACATCTGAAAATGAAAGGTCTATCATATTCCACGCTTCTTTTGAAACATCAAAAAGCCGCACAAAGAAGCAATCGGACTAGAAAAACCTGACGAGGAACGGAATAGTGTGGATGAGGATGCCGGAGTAGCTGGAGGTGAACCAACGGGTGGTCCATGAAAAGGCAAGAGAGAACCAGAAATGCCTGCCGATGAGATGAAACCGCCCACAGCTGTGTCATGCTAATCAAAAGTTAATTTCAGCTCTCAGACACTGGTCATGGTGCTTCACAGTTGAATGGCACAGAGCTCACTCACTGTGCAGCATCACCTGCCGAGGCCGAGTCTGTTTACAAGCTCCCAGAATCCAGAGAGAAGTGGAGGCAAAGATGCTGTGCCTAGAAGATGCTCACAGGCTAAGAACATGTGTGATGCTGTTGGACAGTGACCGCAGAATCCTTGCAAACTCCAGCCTTGGTCTTCGAGTAAATCCTAAAACTATTCAGATCTTGCCTCAGGTCCTCTACAAAGGCTGTGCGCTCCCTCAAGCCCTGAGCCTCCAGCTCCTGTAAAACTCTTTTATTGAACTGGAAAGGAAGCCCAGCAGGTAAGAGTATCTGCCGGGCAAAGACGTGAGTTCATATCTTCACACTCACTTCAAAAGCTGCACATGTAACTCTAGTTCTGTATAAGTGCTGGGAAGAGGGTAGGGACAGGAGGTGAGTGGAGACAGGAGGTGGGTGGGGACAGGAGGTGGGTGGGGACAGGAGGTGGGTGGGGACAGGAGGTGGGTGGAGACAGGATGTGGGTGGGGACAGGAGGTGGGTGGAGACAGGAGGTGGGTGGGGACAGGAGGTGGGTGGGGACAGGAGGTGGGTGGAGACAGGAGGTG